TACCTCAATGTCTTCATGTTCAAAACCAAATGCACCTAGCCACTTAAACACTGGCTTTGCTGCCATTCATTGCAGTATCCCCACTGCCCAGCACATAACAAACACTCATTAAATGTGGATTGACTGAATATTCCATGTCAAACCCGAGTCTTTCTTGGTATTCTTTATTTCAATAAATGTAATACAATCCAGTCTGTTGCTCAAGCCAGATACTTGGATTTATCCTTGACCCTCTTGCTTTACTTCATCCTTACATCTCATCAGTCTCCCAGTTCCATAGGTCTGGTAGCCTAAATATTTTTCAAATCTGTTTCTCGGACCCTCACTGCCACTACCAAGTCGAGATCACCATCATCTCTTTCCTGGATCATAGAAATAACCTAACTGGTATCTCTTCTTTCACTCTCTTTTTTTTTTAAGTAAACTTTTAGGTGTAACATACAGAATTGTGCACAAACCAAAAATGAAGAGCCTGATGTATTTTAACCAAGGGAAAACAGCCCTTTAGCTTCCTAATTAACATTCCAAAGAAATCAGAATTTACTGTTGCTCTCGGGACTACTCTGGTGCCCTCTTCTGGTCACTTCTTCTCCCCCATAATCTCTATCCTGACTTGCAACTGTAACAGATTTGTTTTTGAACTTCGTGTAAGTGAAGTCACACAATAAAAACTCTCATCTGACCTTACTCACTCTACAGTGGGGGACTCAACCACACGTTGCTTATTCCCTGAATGGTATTCACTGTTGTGATATTTACTTGTACTGTGGCTAGTTTTCAGTTTGGGGCCACATTTAGTAGTTCTTGTATGTCTCCGGTGACCATATATGTGCATTGCTGTGGGGTTCATGCCCAGCAGTGAATCGCTGTGTCAGAGGGTAGGTGATGCCCAGCTTCAGAAGATTCTGCCACACTTGTCTAGAGAGCTTGTACCATTTCCCTTCCCACCATCTGCTGACTCATCTTATGCATTTCTTGCCCCAGTCCTAAGATCAGTCCTTTCTCCATGGAGCCCTGATTCCTGCCATTATCTGATTCTTTTTCACATTATAAAGCATTCACAAAAATAGAATTTTTAAAAGGATGAGAGAAAGTGAAACTAAAGGAAGTTCTACAGTTTTTTTTTTCCACATCCAATGGAGTAAAAAGAATAGAAAAGATATCTGTGAAAGCCCACACGACGTGTAAAGGAGGGAGTTGGAGAGCTGATGGCAGGGGACAGAGACTGCAACAGGAGGAAGGAGGGGAAAACGTTAGCTGAAAAGGACATCAAGGGGGGGGTGCCTGAGTGCCACTGTCATCTGCTCCCAGGAGGGGCCTCCAGTAGGGGTCCTCTGATGCTGAGCCAGTCCGGATGCCTCCTGAGTACCCCAGTTCCCACCTGCTTCAGTGTCGTTAGCTTTTGTAAGTGATTGTAGCCTGAAACTCTACCCAAGACTAGGGGACACTTCAGGTATCAGATAGCAGGAAGTGGCAGCAGCAACAGCGAAGGGTATTTTAGGTTGATGACAGTGTCCTTGTTTCATAAAAATGCAGCAACTTCTAAACGGAATGTAACTTAATTTACTCTAATATCTACCCACAAAGAGCCAGATGGAGTTGACTCTTGAGCTTGGTTTCAATAGAGAGTCCCCTCTCTGCCTGTACTGTAAGCTGTCTTTAGCTCCCAGGTGGAGACAATGTTCTGATAGTTGGGATGTGGGTGTTTGGGGAATATATCCAGTCAACCCTACAAAGTTTCAGGGCTTTTCTGGCCTTGGTGATCACGGCTTGCCTGGTTGAGGCTGAAGCTGCCAGCCTTGACATTCACGGTAAGAAGCGCTTGGAGTTGCTGCCTAGGGAGGAGACTCCTGTCCTGGAGCTCACCCAGGGCAGGAGAGGGCCATTTCTGCCAATTTTGATGGGCAGGCTTCTGGGCCAGCATCATAGCTGAGATCCAGGAACCGGGTTTTGGGTTGGCAACCTCTCTGGCTGCCCTGTGTGCAAGATCAGATGTTAGTCTTGTTCACCCACTGGAAAGGAGCAAAGGGTCCAGCTGCTGGGTAGTTCCAGTTGCCACTAGGCAAGGGCATCAAGAATTGGATGGTGAGCAGGCTCCTCGTTAGAGACTGTGATACAGCCATACAATAAAATATGCCATAGCTGAAAAACAGCAAGGCACTGCTTGAGAATTGCAGGATGCTTGGCACATAACCATCCATCCAAACCTGCCCCAAGAGACTTGACCAAACTCTAGCATGGCTTCTAGAAGCATAAGGCTATTAGGATGACCCCTAAAACGCCTGCCTGGGGATGTACTCAACGCTGCCAGTAGGATGTACTATTCTAGCTAATACCTGATGCTAGGTCCCTGACCTCCCTTTCTTAGAGCATTTACTGAAAAGCTCTTATAATTGTGAATACGTGTCTCTTACAACCCAGAAGCATCTCTCACAGACCTGAGAGCCATTCCTCTGAAATGTACTCATCAGGATTGTCAAGGCCTCTATCTCCATTCTCCGTGGGAGGATAGGCTCCTGACTTCCACACCTGCCAGCCAGCAGACACACCTGATCTAATCGCTTCTTCACTGCCCAGCTCTTTGTGATTTTTCATTTTCACTTTTCTGACTCTACTGAGAGACCCCACCTCCTTATTCTCCCTTTGAAACACCCAGTCGCCTCTACACAAATCAAACGGAGCACAGCTCTTTCTCCTGCTATCTGTAGTTACAGAATAAAATCTGTTTCCACTGCTTTATAATCTCTGGCTGTATTTTGGTCTTAGACAAGCTCCATGTTTTGTTTTGTTTTTCTCTATATGTTTTCTATACTGAAAGTCTCTAAGATGTGTGTCACACACACACAGTGGGCAGGTCAGCAGCATATAATACACTCCTATTTTTGAAACAAAACAAAACTCAGAATAGTTGTGTGCGGGGAGACCCTTGACCTGGGAGGCTGGACGGGTCGCTGGGCGGCAATTCGTGCTCCCGGGTCCCTCGGCACCAGTGCTCTAGGGCGGAGGGCCGTCGTGCAGACAGCCTCAGTTTCCCCACGGGAACGCCGACTCGAGGGCTCCCGGGGCTCTTCCCCGCAGTCCTCACCGCCCCCGTTGCCCCCAGTGTCCGGGCGCCACGAAAAGGCGGGAAAACCGGAAGTTGGAATGAGGCAGCCGGACGAGAAATGCGGGCGCACTGGCAGGGTCAGGCTGCACCGGTGTGACCCTCCCACCTCGAAGGGGCTGCCTCTCAGGGGCGCGGACGGGAGCGCGCAGGTAAGGGCGGCAGAGCGGTACCCTGGTGGGGCGGGGCCATCGAGGCGACAGCCAATCACCAGCGTCTCCAGTGGGTGCGCTGACGGGCCGGGGCGGGGCAGAGCGTTGCCTGGGCGACGCACTCCCAGCGTCGGAGTTCTGTGGGCGGCGGATCTGGGCGGCACCGACGACCGTACGCTGGGCTCCTGGGCCTCCAGTGGCTCCGAACGCGTCCCGGCTGCCGCCGCCTCGCATCAGGGAACGGGGCCGTGGGGTTTCCTCCACGGCCCCGGGGGTGAGAGGGCCGCCGCCCGCGTGAGCTCTCACGACTTGGTCTCCAGCGGCCCTGAGAGTTCTTAGTTATTTTTCCTTCTTTAAAAATTTTCTATTTCTGGGGCCCCAACTACCTAACACACTGGCTTCTTTTTCTTCTTTTTCAATGGTTACCATCTGCTCTGCGGTTTACTCGATTATTCTATTTTTCTTGGCTTCTCATTCCTTTATTTGCCCCTGATCATCTCTCCTTCCTAAGGTTAAATCTCTGCATTGTCCTGTCTCCAGCCTGGCTTAACCGTCTTATTTAGTACACGTTTGTTTTTGTTTTTCTTACTTCAGATGATTCTTTCTAGTTTTTATTATTCTGGGTGTTTTGGTGAGGTCCTCTTTAAGACCCGAGTCAGCTTGCAGGCCAGTCTGAGGATACATCATGATTTATTTACTAAAGGTGGCATATTCTTACTCAAACTCACGGAAGCCGCGGGAGACCAGAGTTGACATTTGTTGAGTGTTTCCTGTGCCTAAAGCTCGTAAGTGCCTTCTTCCACGATAGTTATCTTGTGACCAGGCTCCTGAGGTAAGTACATCCCTAACCTGGTGGCCTGTGAGTGCAACATCAGATGTTTTCTGCTGGAGTTGTATGCAGTTCTTAAAATGTTTTTTTGTTTGTTTTGGTCATCAACATTCAAAAGTTAGGATATTTCACATAGAAATTGAATTTTGGGGCTTCTCTTGAAAAATCCCCAAGCTTTGGCAATACTGAGCCCCCAGCTGCCTCCTTTAAACAAAATATGGTTTCTTGAGGCCTCCAATGTCCCTCCCACTTCGGTCTTATACCCAAGACACTGGTCATTTATTGTACTGCCTGGTTATTGAAGGCACTTAGGTTTTTGATCTCTTCTTTACTTATTGACTGTTTACGATTCTCTCTGAGTGGAAAACAGTATTGACTTGACACAACTTTGTTCATCTCTCTTTACCTTAAAGTTTAAAAGACCTGGAAATATTGACCAGAGACAAACCCCAGGGGCAGTTTTTCTTTCATCAAAGCAATAACAGAATCAATCAGAATCCTATGACTCCTAAAACAAATTGGCCTCCAAAAGCTGAATTGCAAACTCAAAATGA